GCAGGCTCAGCCTGGAGCTATAAACATGCAAATACTGAGCTTGGATCAAATCCCAGCCCCAATCCCTCTGTTGCCGTCCAAATGTTTAGCAATATTTATCAGAAAAATAATACTCATTTGTTTGGTGTCTTATTGAGATGCAATTGAGTTTGCAATGAGATTATTTATCAAAAGCAGGGGTTACCAGTGGAAATTTAGTTTGTTCCAATTAAATACTGAATAACACAACACTGTCAAAATCCAACATTTTAAGTCATACTTTAGTTTCTAATTTAAATATCTTTTTTTTTTAAAGATACACTACAAGAGAATCATGAAAATAGCAAAAATTTATATCTGTTATATTTAAATACATCTTGTAATAGTGTCATATATCATAAGTATAAAATATTAAGTATTTATTCTCCCTCATATTCTGTTCTCACTGCCTCCGATTCAGCCATAGAACCCAACTTTAGTTCTCCGTTTAGAGCTCTAATTTCTCTGCTGCTTCTCCTTTTGGTTAACCTTTTCAATTACATTTTTAAAATCAGCAAATAATACTTAAAAAATATATATATATACTCTAAGGACTTAATAAGCAATTTCTTGAATTATACTTTCAGGTTTAATGACCAAATGTGTGAATTGCTGACCTAAAAGCATAAAACATGACAAAGCCATTTATCTCAGCAAAGATTCAGATTCAGAAGTTTTTTTTTTTTTATTTTTTTTATATCTTTAAATGTTAAACAATAGCTCTATTCATATGGGATAGTTTAATTCAGGGAGCACATTTGTAGTATTCATGGTGATAGTATTTTAAATCCTGTGTGAATGTGCCACATCAGTAATTTGTAAAGTAATAATTCCCCATTAAATGGGAAATGTATGGAAATACTAAACCAATATGAATTAGCATCTCTGTGATTAAGGAAGAACTGGGCAGGATAACATATGTGATTAGGAGGTATTTGTTTACTGGGTTTTATTTGCTATTGATGAAGAATGGAGGCAGTATTGGAATTGCCAGAAAAATCTTTTAGGTCCTTGATCATCACAGAGTACAGGAATACAAAAAAAGGTGGGAGAAAGAAACAACTTCATATGCAAATGGTTGATCACATCGTGCTGCACTGTGTGGTAAGAATAACATAACCCTCTGTATACAGCTGGCTGGAGCTCGCAGTAACAGCTCCGACCTGGAGCCTTAGTCTGCAAAGTAGTTATAACGTTAACTCACACGCTGGTTCACGTTGTTCAATGAGTTGATTGAAAGAGTAATATATATGATCAATGTTTTACATCTTTAACACACTGAGCTGTTATGCAATTCGAGGATCAGAAGTAAAAAATGTGGATTGGTGCAATACTTGTTGGGTTAAAAAGGAAATGGACGCAGCTGCTACTGTACATCTTTGACCTTCCTGTGTCAAACACAGGAAGGTCAAACACAGGTGTCAAACACAGGTAACTAAAACTCTAATTCCGTAAACTTAAAAAACAGTCAAAGTCAACTATTCCATGGGTTTCCCCTGCCTTAATTTGATATTCCACTGAGAAACTTCAGTAGATGTTCCTGTTTTACTCACGTTTCACAATATTATCACCATCTCCAATCTGAATAACCATGTTTTTTTGTGTGCATGATCCGTCAGTCAGTTTTAAATAATAATAAAAGTGTTAAAATTAACCACTGTGCTGATCACAGATGAGCTGTTTTAATTTCTAGAAGTTATCTACTGCAGGTGCAACATGTTTTAAGCTCACTTGGGACATTTTTCATTATTCTTTACATGACAAATGAATATAAAAGGACGATTTATTAAATTGATTATTGTCCTTTGAGCAACTTTTGAAACGAACATCTGGGCGAATATCAAACTGAGTTTGATGAATAAAGAAGAACCAAAGAAACAGCAGAGTCTTGAACTCAAATTACAGCATCAGAAATTTCTAATATGACGAGTTATGCAATCTATTAATCAGTATAAGTGAATGCAAAACAAAAAGAACAAAACAGTCAGAAGTGCTGCTGTCAGACTGAATGAGCAATCACGGTGTCATTACATGTATTAGTCTGCTGTTGATCAGCAGGCACAAAATGTAGTCCTTCAGACCTGCTCTACCAGTGCACAGCATTTTCTTCTTGCCTAAAACAGTGACCACGCAGTTAACCCTCTAATGCTTCATGTTATAATGTGATCAGATCTTTAATATAATATACATAATAATACCTCTGAAATAAATTTAAAATAATCCACATTGGAGAAAATGAAGCTTTATCTTCAAATTTGATCTAATTTACCTACAGCTACCACGCTGCTCTTTTTTCAAAGATCAAAACCTGTTAGTTAGGATTTTAAGATGTTTTAAAAAAAGAAATTGCACTTTGTGAAATAACTGAGAGAAGAAAAAATGTGAAGCAAAGGTGTAAAGCTTACTGCCTGTAGCAAAAGGCACCTTTTTGTTTAAAACAGGCTGTAGCCTTGCAGGTTATTTCTGGAGGTAAATCAGATGTTCTCCTCAGCTAAATGTGTGATTCTAATGCTATCAAGGTCAAATGAGAAAACAAGAAAATCTAATTACTAAACAACCAGTCCATATTAAAACAATCATTCTCTCTCTAAATGTGCCAAAACATTGTCAGGATAATGCTCCGGTGTCTGCATGCAAACAAATTAAGACCCAAACACAGATGAGTAGTCTTAATATATTTGAATGGGCACATTTACAAAGAATTAATATAAGATGGTAAATCGATTAACACAGTTATTCACTTATTTGTATGAAAGCCTATTTAGGTATGTTTGTGTTTGATGAGCTACAAGTGGTTTGCTATAAAAAATAAAAAAAAAAGCTGGAAAAAATTGTTGGATAGGAAATCTATCCTGCAGACAAGTTTGCTTTTGGTTTAACGGTTAACTATAAGACAAATGCATATGAGTAAGTTATTGAATTAACAGTAATAAATACTCTAAAAATAGTAATAAATACTATGAAAGCTCATATATTGGTTTGTTATCTTGTTATAACTAACAAAAACTATAGACTGAGGGCCTGAACTTCAGAAGGTTTGAGGGTCTTAAAACAGATGCAAATGTTTTTGTGTTAACACAGCAAAGAGTTTGATTTCATCAATATATATATATATATATATATATCATATTCTGATTAATAAGTTGCACAAATTTCCAGGTGGAGGTTATGCAAATGTAAACATTTACAGTGTTCAAAGTGATTTTCGAAAAAACAACTGCAGCCGAAAGAAAGTCAGGTGCAATCTGATGCACAAAAATATCTGTGATCATTATTGTCACACAGGAGGCAGAGGATGGAGAGAGATTCTACTTTGACCATCAGAAATAACATAATAATATTACTGAAGAATGTGTGGCAAAGTATTTTGAAAGTGTGCATCGTCACAACAGAGATTTTATTCTTCCTCAAAAAATGATCAAAGTTAACCACGCATAAGGCACCAATTATTTTATTTAATAATGTATGTATGCCACTTGCCTTAGATCTTCATCTTTCTTTCTCTTGACTCTTAAACTATAGAGAACCTAGAGAGTCACTGATAAAGAAAACAAGCCATTTACAGTTTTACATTTAAATCAAGCAAGTTGGAAAACAACTTGAAAAGTATTTTCTAATTGCACATTTTAAATTGAATTATTAAAGATGAATTATACATTAAATTTATTATTCCATTATTAAATAGTGGAATTTATAATTTAAGAATGGCTGATTTTCATTTATCATTTTCTCTAGATCCTCTATATTAAACTGCCTGTAGAACTGCCAGAGCCAAACAAAGTGTCTTAATATTTGTGCAGCAATCTTTGTAAATCACTCGAAACACGCTCACTTATTGCACATACTAAAAAAAAAAAATGGCACCCATTATTTTGAATCTTTGAAGATCAGGCCTTGTAGTGTAGAGAAATGGAAAACTCTAGTAAATTATTTTGGATAAATAATTTCAGTTTAGTTTAGTTTCAGAAGTGAAGAGGCCATTTTCCTGTTTATTTCTTGCAGAACATAATAATATGGTTTGCTGCTGCAATAACACTGCTGCTTTGCTGCACTTACATGCTGCAACACTTTTGGAGTATTTTCTTTATAAGCGGTTCTCAGTTACCAAAGTAAAGTTTCTTTTTCTGCCAATGAGTCAAACTAACAGGAACAATCTATGTCAGAAAACTATTTCCAGTCTAGGCATATATACAAGACTGCTGTTTTCTGCCAAACTATCTTACCAAAGAGAGATAAGAAATTAACGTAACATCAAACTACAGAAATAGCCACCATATGAGCATAAGCTATAGAGAACCAATTAGAAAATTTACTTAATGCATTAAAAACATACTCAGAATGATTTAGCAGCTTAAAGGGTGAATATTTTGATGAGGGATTCTATAGATGCAAGGTTTCTAAGCAGTTTCTAAAAAGTATGGCATCCATCCATTACCAGACTCTACAATACATTAATACATTAAAATTATATGCTTTAAGAAATGGCTTAAACGTCCTAGAAACATTACATTTTCAGTCCTGGAAAATGGGGAATGTGAGAAACGTGCAGGAACCACCTGTGGGCAAGTCCTGATCTGGTATCAGGAGACAGAAGGCGGGAATGAAAGAGTGAATGAACAACAACATAAGATCCAAAAAAATATTCTAGCGATTTTCTTGACTGAGTTTCAGCAGGGAGCAAATTTGGAAGAATCTAATTATGTTCTGGTTGGCAGTATCTGTTTCTCATGGCGAGCGATTGGTTCTAAGTAACCACAAATTTTCATGCACGATCATATATAATACAGTGACAGTGGCTTAAGGGATTTATTAAAAAAAATCCAACAAACACATAAACCATTTTCTAAAATTAGTATTGAGATGGAATTAAAGGTAAAAATCTGTTAGTCTTGGCCATTAGTTACCATTATCTTGGAGATTCAGATATTTTTCTGAATAGTTTTTTTTCTCCACCACTGTTTACATTTGATCACTGCTGCACTTTAAGAAATAGAAATATCATGAAAGCTGTACAAAAACGAAATTCCGTTTTGTATACGCTATGCATACAACTTATATCTAAGTCTAAGCAGGAAAAACAACTGTAGAAACCTTGTTTCAATCTGCAGTGTGTAGAAATAGATGGAGGAGGGGGAGTGCCGTTTTATTCTATGCTTCACACAGCTGGAAAAAACTGGTTGCTTCAACATTTTCTCAACAATCTCAATACAAGGACTTTAAACCAAATAACTGATTTTAAAACAATTGTTTTTTTGTAACAGCCTAACAAAGCTGAAAGTACTGATGGAGGTATGCAAACAAAAAGGTTGTTTATCCCGACCTGTGGACACTATCTAGATGTAGCTCTATGCTCTAAATAATAATCAGTCAAAGCCAGGCTCTTCTGTTCTAATCTATAAATGAGATTCCCTGATTATTGTTACGGATAGTATCTACCCCTCCTAATGAAGGCACTAGGAATTGTTTGAATGTCCTTGGATTTTCATCAGTTAGATTTGACTGATGGCTGGATAACAGTTCTCCTACAACATAAGCCGTCTTACTGCCTGAGCAGTCTGGAGTCCCAGTGCGCGGCACACTGCTTGTTTGTCCTCACAGTCCTTTCTGAGTTTACACAGCTGAGTACCGCGGACAAAAGAAAAACTCTGCTGTGTATTGTCACGCCTAAACTCGCCACAGCAGTTATCTCTGCCTGCTTGATGTTCAGCTACCATGGGGACGAGCTTATTTGCTGTTACTGTACCTTACATCAAGACTATGCCAACTTTCTGACTTTTGATTCCAAATCTGCTGTACATACTGCACTAAAGGTAGAGATAGCCTACCCAGTATACAATGTTGAACAGCAGGAAGGAAGTGGGGAAGAAAACACGCGAGTATGCATCTAGTTCAAGTAGATCTATGTGGACTCTTCCTTTTCTCCATGTGCCTTCTTTACATTCTTCGAAGCAGCAAAAGAAACTCTGGCAGTCCTTCCCGTCCAGACATTCATAGACACAGGGGTCCTCATACTCCTGCCAGTACATCGAGTTGTTCAAAGCGATGACGGTGTGAGGAGGAGGTCTCACGTCCAGGATAGAGAAGTTCTGAGAAATAACAGATATAAGAAATAAAAGTGAGAGCTTTGCGGCTGGTAAAATGCCATTTTACTAAAACAACAAAAAGAGGATTGTCAGAAAAATGGACTAATTATTTTACAAGATAGTCCAAATCTGTAGCCCTGTATTTTTAATAAGAAGTCACTTTTAGACAAGCTTAAGATAATTTTTGCATGAATTTATTTGGAAAAAAAATGTGTATACAAACACTTTTTTTGCAGTTAAGTGGAAGACTATTGCGCATTTTTAAAGTTTTAACTTTTAGTTCCATTTTACATTAGCTGAAAGTTAAGAATGCTGCAGCCTAAAAGACATTTTTTGCTGGTGCAGCACAAAATTTAATGTTTACGTCTGGAGAGATCCCCAGAGGATGTGTTTTTACAATTTGGGATTTACTGAAGGGATTGACACTGACAAGATGATAAATTCCCACATGCACTAATGGTATGACATGGTACGATGTAGACTCCCTGTCTCCTAAGGTGGGCAGGGTTTATTGCTGTTTAAATGGGGTTGTCTCAGTAGATGAAAGGATAATATATTAGAAGTGTGTGACCACATAGGTAAATGTGACAATGAAATGTACGCGTCTTGCTCCTTTTGGTCATATAGATTCATTCTCCCCTTTGTGATGAAATAAGACCTTAGTCTAAATTAATATACGCTGGATTAAGTGATTTTAATTTTTACAGTATCTGACAGAAATATTACCTTTTACAATAAATTAATCCCAATACAGTTTGCTTTAATAAATGTGCTTTTGGGGAGACCCAGATAAAACTGTGATACGTTAAGGAGATATAACCAGCAGTGTAAGAGGTCTGTTTTTTTTTTCTGGCTTTCAGCTAACAGTATTTTTTCATGACTTGTGGCCTTTTACAATGCCAAGTTGTTTGGCTGAATTTAAATAACATAAATGCAGTAAAATGTGGACAAACTATGCTGACAGAGAAGGATGCCATCTTCCTGGTGGAATCATTTTAGAAGCACACTGAAAAAACTGAGCTAGAAATAGGTAAACATGTACTAAATAACGTTTTTTGCTTTTAATTTGAACAGGTAAATTAGATGATTTGGGAGTGAAGTGAGTATTTTGATATTGAGCGCTTGAAATAGAATAATAGTTTTATTTTTTTCACTTTTTAAAGATAAATCATCTTACTCCACTGACAAATTAACTTACTCAAATCAGGGGGAAAATACAGCAATTCTAAGAAAAAATGACATACATATATTTTATTTTTTGTAGTGTAGATTTTGCCTTTGGGTCTAGGATCAGAATCTAAAGGGTATATTTACCTTTTTTTATTTACTTTTGGGCTTTGAGGATAATTACTCAGTTGAGGCAGTAATCTCACCTATTATAGCACATTTTATACATATTAAACTGAACTAAACCATTTTTTATTGTATTGAGGATTACATCCACCCTGCATTCTGTCTCTCTATATATTTTACCCTAAGCTTTTAGATTGCAGTAAAAACTTCCGTATTGTGCACAAAATGGTGCTTTGATTAATTTTCCAAAACTTCTCTTTTCAAACCACGAGTGTAAAAAAAGATAGTACGAAGGCCAGTGCTGAGAAAGAGCAGAGGCTATGCATTTAATCAAACAACATTGTTGAAAAACTCCACTGAGGTATGTGTGCTGTCAACTTGGAAAAGCAATACGAGCAGCAATGGCAATTAATGCAGGTGAGTTAATCAGGAGATAATGTGAAGCAGCTGGAGCAGAAGGACCACAGGGAGACTGAGGAAAAGAAAACTATTTCACATGAATGGAGCTGATCAGAGATGCAAAGAAACCATTATGAAGAAATAAAACAGAAAATGATGCTTAATGTATGAAGAACAGAACTGAAATAAAAAGAAATCAAATGAACTCCCACAACAACTTAAAGAATGTAAACATCAGGAAAATGGAAAAAAAAGAGACTAAAGAAAACCTGAAAACCAAACTGATGAAAGAGAGGAAACCAAAAGGGCGGCCGTCTGTGAGTGAGATCCATTAATGCAGTGCAGCCTTTCTAATGCACCTCTGTCATCTGATCAAGTCATCTGATCTCTAAGGTAAATGCTGCACATTCTACTTTAAAAAAACAAGTTTATGCAGTATATGCTATAGTTTTTTTTTTTTTTTTACAGTATTGCTGAGTTAGTACATTTTTCTTGCTAGCACTCCTCAACACATCAAGGTTATTTCAATATAGGGAAAATTGATTTTACATTTTACAAGAGGAAAATAAGTTAGGAGCACTGTGACAAAGCAAAGCAAAGCTTAAGTCAACACTGGAAAAACGATCTAGAAATAAGTAGAATTTTCTTAAATTAAGTTTATTTACCCATAATTTGAGTAAGTAAATGAGGTAGTTTGCCAATGGAATGAGTATTTTTACTCTTAAAATAAGATAATTAGATAAAATGCACTTTAAATAAGACAATGCAGTTGTGTTTTCCTATTTTAAGAGTAAATTGTCTTGTTCCATTGGCAAAATGTCACTTTTAACTCCTCAATCCAAGAACAAATGCATTTATTTTAAGAAAAAATGACTTATCTAGATTTTGATTTTTTACAGTGGCGCCACTGTATATGAATGAAAACAGTCAGAGCAAACATACCAGCCTTTTAGCTTCCATGCAGCTGGGTCGTTGAATGCTGTAGGAGTAGTAGTTCAACGTTGCATACTCCATCAAGGCAGCGAAGACAAAGAGGAAGCAAACGGTGACAAAAAGGTCCATGGCGGTGACATAAGACACTCTGGGTAAGGATGTCCTGGCCACACTACTAAGTGTGGTCATAGTAAGGACTGTGGTTATTCCTGAAAAAAAGGGACAAAAAAATCAAATGACATATTTGAATTAAAAATAATTTAACAGAAAAGAGTAAAAAAAGTAGTTGTTTTTAATAATGTCAAATAAAGCCTTTACAATCGCTTATAAAGCAGCACTTTTTAAAAGTACACTTTTTTTGGTTGATAAGAGTTTGCAGGTGCCATTTGCTAAAATCGGGGGAGCAAATGTAATTTCAGAGAACCAAGGAAAATACATTTGTCAAAAGGGGGCTTTTTAATCCTTCCCCTGGTTTCTCTCTAATATACTTTTTAAATCACTATTTCAGTCATCTCAAACATGCTGGCTGTTAGATGCCTGCCAGCTGTGATAAAGCCATTAATATGTATGTGTGGAAGGCACGATTATGTGAAGTTGGCCAGTTGGCAGGGGTTGGCCAAAGCCACAGGAAGGCCAAGCACCTGCTTAGGGCTACAGGGCAACTGGGGGGCCTCCAAGAGCAAGTAAAAGATATGGATTTGTTTTTATTGCATGAATATTTTTTTATGATAACAAAATATATGTCATTATTTTTACTTTTAACAATAAAATATATTTGATCATTTAGGAATTATTAATTATATATGAAAACAACAAAAAAGTTTAACTGGTCTTAGGGTTACAGTAGCTTGATGCAGAGATGAGAAAAGATCAGCATAAACTTCTCCCTGACAAACCTATCTTTGGAGAAGATGCTGGCGAAGATTCTCTGTCATACAGGTTATAGTCATTCCAAAAAAAGTTAAAAAAACAATCCACTGGACTTTGTTTCCAAGTGCAAGACGTTTTACTTCCCATCCAGGAAGCGTTTTCAATTCAAAATGTCAAGAATAGCGTTGCGTTCGAGGTTTTATACAGTAGCCCATCAAAGCCTTGTTTTTGTTTTGAAAACATGCAAATTGTTATGGACGAACGGGCCCGTTCGTCTTTGGAGAACAGAGCACAGTGGTCCACAGATGGAAAACCTTTAACATATTTGGATAGCCATATAGAAAGCCTGCACTGCAGTCACTGCTGCATCTGCTGAAATGGTGCATTTAGAAGCTCAAAATTATAAAGAACTGTTTAAGATTGTCTGTGACACAACAAAGACTATTTAGATTAGTAGTTGACCATATTAATTTCTGCAGACATTATGAACAATTTTTCAGCCTCAAAAGGCAGGAAACATTTTATAAAGAGTTGGAGAATTTATTATGGAAGAACTGGTTAATAAAAAATGTAGTCTATTTATTTTAAAGGTTTTGCGTATAGTTGGTTATGATATAGTTTTTAAAAATCAAAACACAAAAAGTATATTTATTAAGTATGTTCATGTAATGTCTGCCAACATTTTAGACAACCGCGTGACACTTATGCTAAAAGCATATTTTGTGGGCATAGCCTGCATTTTTTGTTATTGTGTGTCATTCATCACATTGGTCTTTTTTAAAAATGAAAATAATTTAGTCTAAAACAAAAGCTAAGGTTAAGTAAACAATAAATATTATACATCATCTATCTTTTAAACCCAATGCACTCTATCAGAACAATATTAAGCTTCTGGGCCACTTTTTATGAATGAATTGTAACACTGACCAGAAGGAAGAAGAAGACAAAATGAAACATCTGTTACTGTTTCATTGACGTTCCCAAGGTAACCTTCTGGCCTCATCTATTTTAGACTGGCTTCTCACACTTCTCCTTTATCCTTTGGCTGCCACTGTGATTACCCTCATCTCCTTTCTGGGGCTGTGGCACACATTTCAAGGTTTTGCCATAGTGTGAGTAGCAGATGAGCATCTCAGAAACATCTATTCTAACAGATGTCTTAGACTAGGTTATTGCTTAAAAGGAATGTTTTCTTCACTATTACTTCTTGGAGTGTAAATAAAATGCTGCTACTGTTGAAATTTTGTAAACTCTCTTATTGCGTACATGAATTCAACATATTTTTCCTTTATAATCACAAAGACCTAAAGAAGAACTAAACCCTAAATCAATAGATTTCTTTTGCAAATAAACTTTATAAATTGTGCCTTGAGGATCCTTTTTGTATTGTTAATGTGCAAAAGTTTTTTTAAACTTTACTGGCCTTTTCTTTAATATTTTTGAGATTAGGCAGAAAGAAAATGAGATCAGTCAAAGGTTACCACCCCGGTACTCAAACCTGCATCAGGTCTTGGACCAAAGCCTCTGAACATGGGTTGTGTGCTTAACCCCTGCACCTCTGCACCACTGCCACGCCCGGTAATATGCAAATTTGGACATGTCAGACTGCTGCCCTCTATTGGTTGAAGGGAGGATACTAGAGAAGTTAAAATGGTACAGCTTGGTACATGTCTACGCCACAGCCTTGTGTTACGGTAGAAATTGGAACTAGAAAGTTGGCGTCAATTTTCCCAGTTTCCTGCATATATTCTCAATTGTTCGTATATTGCCAATAGGACCACCTTTAACACCAGCAGCAGCTGTAACTGTTATTCTGACTTCTGAGTCAAAATGAAAGGTTCCACCCATAAAATGTGTGTCAGTCAGACACACACTCTCGTGGAAAGTCTGGAGTTGGAATTGCAAACTTTGATCAACGTTTTTAAAGCTAAGCATTGGCCAAATGCTTCATTTTAGGTTCTTAAATAATTTTGTCTCTCCCTGTACCTTTTCCTTATCCTGACTGCATTCCACTTAACCCTCCCACTCATCCTGAAAGTTTGCTTTATCTCTTTTAAAGTATCCATTTTGCTGACATTTTTATAAAAAAAATGCCCAGTGGCAGAGTCATGTTTTCAATTATCCTTTAAATTGCCTCATGTCTTTACATTCAGCTTGTAATCATTTATTGTCTTCTTTATTGCATCCTTATGTTATTGAAATAGATTCACATTAATTAAAGCACATTAAATGTTTTTTTTTTTCTGTACATGTAACCGGAGAATAAATAAGTTTAAATGATTTTCATGACAGTCCTGATAAAAACTAAATACAGCATTAAATGAGTAATTCAGTAGCATTAAGAGTCAGCTGTAGTGGTCATAACCCAACCTGAAACCAGTCCCCAGAAAAGTGAGAAATCTGTTGTTATCCACTACAACGGGGTTCCTCAAGTCCAGTCCTTAGGATTTGGTGCCCTGCACCTTTTAGATGTGTCTCTGTCTTTACAAGCCCAAATCAAAAAGTTTAATTACACATGCTGGTGAAGTTTCTCAGTCATCCAGGTCATAGTCATTCCAAATGTCAAAAGCAATCCACTGGACTTTTTGCAGAGACATAGACATGTATGGGGCATTTGTGGGCTAACAAAAGAAGCCAAACGACCCCCATTCCAAAGGGGTGGACCCTTCATCAATTTCAATTTGCATGTTTTCTAGTGAAAAACAAGGCTTTTGTTGGGCTTTCTTCAAACTTGGAAAAAAGAGTCCAGTGGGTTGTTTTTAACTTTAAATTACACATGTGAAAAGTGCAGGACCCCTAACCAAGAGGACTGGAATTGAGGAACTCAAGCTCTAAATAATTATGTGTTATAGAAGTCTCTTTGACTGCCCTGTGGCTTTAGTTCAATTTAACTTTATCCCAAAATACTTTAGTACTCTCAAAGAGAAATTAAATAATGGAGTAAACAGAAAGGACAAATTAATTTGTTTGATTTGAATTAAATTAAAAAGAAGCTTTGCCCCTCTCTTTCACAAAATTGTTTTAGTTCTAAAAGGTTTTAAAGTTTTCATCTAGGTGTAGTCATTTTAAACCTCGAGGCAGAATTTCAACCAGTTAAAGATCATGGGTCTCATTTATCAAGGATTGAGTGGGATATATTCGAAAAGACTGCATGTGCTCAAAAGCTGAAAACTGTGTACACAAAAGAAAATTCTGATTTATCAAACAACAAACTAGGCCCTCCCTGGTCCTTGAAATTCTGTTCAACAAGGTTATGAACAGTACTGGTGACAGAGGGAAGCCCTGTCAACATTCACTGGGAACAGGTCTGACTTAATGTTTGCAATTCGCCTGTATAAAACATCGGATCCCCCCTACTAAAGGGCCCCCGACTTCGTACTGCTGAACTGCCCCCCACAGGGCATCATGATGGAACTAGTCAAATGTCTTCTTCAGGTCCACAAAACACATGTGAACCTTTTGGGCAAACGTCAATTAGCCCTCAAGCACCCTGCAGAGGCTGTAGAGCTGGGCAACTTTATCACATCCAGTAAGAAAACCAAACTACTCCTCCTGAAGCCGAGGTTCGACAGTCAGTCGACAATCAACCTTGCATAGGCCTTCCTGAGGAGGCTAAGAAGTATGATTCCTCTATAGTTGTAACACACCCTTCTTGTGCAGGGGAACCACCACCCCAGTGTGCCAATTCAGGGGCACTGTCCCCGAACTCCACACGATGCTAAAGAGTTGTGTCAGCCACGACAGGCCAACAACATCCAGAGCTTTGAGGTACTCAGGGCAGAACTCACCCACCCCCGAAGCCTTGCCACTGTGGAGTCTTTTGACAACCTCGGTGACTTCAGCCTGAGTGATGAATAAAACTGGCACCAAGCACCTTGCCTTTCCTTCCAACACATTAGGTGTGTCAGTTGGATTGAGGAGATCATCAAAGTACTCCTTCCACCTTCCAAAAATGTGCTCTTTCAGGGTCAGCAGCTCCCCACCCCAACTGAAAACAACATTAGCAAACCACTGCTTCCCTCTTCAGAGGTGCTGCACAGTTTGACAAAAAATTACAGTCTTTCTGCATGGCCTCTCTAAACTCCTCCAAAGACCAGTTTTTGCCTCTGCATTCGCCTGGGCTGCGGCACATTTGGCCTTGTGGTACCTGCTTGCTGCCTGGTACTCCATAGTGTAATTTAGCCCATAGGCTGAAACAACAGTCACAGACCTACTCCCTGCTCAAAGGCGAAGGGATGCAACCCTCTTGTCCACTGCTTTAAACTCTAAAATGGGACAGCAGAGCCCCCCAGCGAGGAGACATTCCACGTCCCCAGAGCAACATTAAGTGTACGTGGATAGGGTCACTGAGGCCTCCTCCTTTGACTGTCACCCAATTCTCTTTGCACTGGTCTCTCATGCAGCTGGTGAGCCATCTCGGGAATGGCATAGCGTCAATCCTTCAGACTGGGCCCTGCCAGGTCCCGCCAGAAAGATTCCGGCCACCAGGTGCTTGCCAATGAATCCCAACCTCAGGCCTGGCTCCAAGGTGTAGTCTCTGCTCCGCTTTACTAGGTGACATCACATGTCTATCATTTGTTTTTCTTTTTCTTTTTTTGGTCATCATGAGGGATCTTTGAATTGTTCTGTGTCTGACCTGTTGCCCAGAGTCTACTTGCCTTGGGAGACCCGTTCATGCCCTCAACAACACAGCTTCTGTCATCATCCAGGCACTGAAACCCATCTAACACGTAAGGTGGCAGTTCAAGGAGGGGTCTCTGAAAATGTATTTCCTTCTAAATCTCTAGTTAATGTCTCCATCATGTGGAGTTCAAAACAATACTTAGATGTTTAAACAAATCAGTGCGATTGCTTCACAAGCCTTTGACCATTGGAGAGAAAAATGGTGAGAAAACATATAGACATTGTGCAAACTTTGATTTGGAATTCATTTCAGCTGGTTGATCTTATTTTCTTGTTTTTGTTGTTTTTTCTTATTTTCTTGTTTTGACAGGTGGTCATACAGTACCCAGCAGTACAAGCATATATCACACTACAGCTTTGAACCTGAAAAAGTGTATTTATGATTAACATTATGCATGAATTGAATTTAAATATCTTAAAGGAATTATAATGCAAACTGGCTTCAGTTTCTCACCTCACCTCATCAGTGTCACCAACTTTCCTTGTCCTCAAATTCTAGCTACTGCTTGCGCTTCAATCAGAGTTGGTGTAAGAGACTACGCATTTTCACGATCAGTTTGTTTTTGATAGATTACAACCTTTGTAAGGAGAATCACATGCGCATTTAAGGTGCTATTGAGGGTACACAAGCTTAATAAATTAGATCACAGAAGTGGATCATCAAAGCAACTTCTTTGTTTTCCAGGGATTTCTGCTTAAATTTAGCCGCATTGTTCTGGATCACAGTCCGATAAAATTCCTCACTGCAAATTGAGTTTTAGTCGTTGGAATTATGGACTCACCTCTGACTTTAGAACATTTGATAAACACTGGGGTTTGACTCAAAATCTGAAAGGTCTCGTTGCTGCAAAGCAGATCCACATAATCAGTTCTCCACCACTGTTCTCAACAGTTGTGAACTGAATTTAATAGAATTATGAAATGTTTGCCTTGAAAAGTGTTGTAAAATATCTTCAGGGGTCTCATCTGCTCTAATTATTGTTTTTTCAGCTGTGTGGTTCATGTAAATGCATCTTAATCGTGCTGTGATTTCTGTTTCAGAAAGAAAAAAATTTTCTCCTGGTAATTCTTTTAAACAAACAATAAGATATCAGTCTTTGGTACAGGCTGGAGGTTAAACATTATGCAAAGTGATTCCTGTAACATCGGAGATGGAGTTCTTTCATTTGCAACTTCTAAGCCTTACAGAGTCGTCTTGAGGAGAATATGAGTAAAAGGATTGCTAGCTATCTTAAATATTTTCCACTTATTTTCTCTCTGTGTAGAGTGAAAGACTTAATAGTTTGAAAAGGACCAAGTTCATTACTATTTTTCCTCCTGACATCTTTGCACACTTATTGGAAACATGTTACTAAGCTGCAGAAATTCCTGCTGGAATAGAGTTTGGCAACAATTTCATTTATTGTTTAATGGAATTCATTTGATTGGTAGCACCTGGATGCTCATTTGTCTTTTACATCCCAGGGAAGCACCAAGGGCTTTGCAGGTGTTTCCCAGTTTTTGCTGCACCTGCATGTATGAATGACCACAGACACCACAGCATCAAGGCACAAAACAACACAGATATTGGCACTGAGTGATGGAACAGTTTGCCGTTCACTTCAATAACTGTTTCGTGAGAATGTAGGAAACAAAATCAGCCATTCAAACAAAAGGCTACATTAAAAACAAAGAAAAAGCAAAATCCTTTACCTGCAAAAATGCCAATTGTTCTGCACAACAACAGAGAGAGCATGCACAAGAAAAAGCACAACATGACAGACAATGAATGACACACATGCCAAACGTCTTTGCAGTTTAATGGGACACGGACAGAAAATTCAGTGAAAACAAATTAGTATTTGACATGAGGGGATGATTGCATCCAATTTTATAATTTGGAAAATTTCAAAATACCTAAAGCTGTTCTGGCTGGAGTGGCGTCCTTTTTTATCCAGAAGGACACCCAGGAGAGAACCACGGTGAGTATACAGGGAATGTAAGTCTGGATGGTAAAGTAGCCCATTCTTCTGCTCAAGTCAAAATACACAGTCATCACTACGTAGTCACCTGTTGTTTAAAAAGAAATGAAGACAAAATCTTATCAAAACTAGCAAATTACAAATCTAATATCGAATTTTAAAAACAATTAAAAGCAAATAAATGTGTAACTTGTCTTCTTTCACATCATCCTAGTAATCCTTGCTGGAAATATATTTTGAAGTTTATTTTGGTTTCAATGGTTCTAAATTTGTAAAGAAAACGCTTTGTAGAGTGAAGAAGCATAGATGAGTGTATGGGTTCAATCTAAAGATAACTTACTCTTTTCAACCAATAATTTTATTATTTTTTTTGGGTTGAATAGTGTATATTGCCAATGGGACCACCTTTAAAACATAACTAGTGATTATTTTTCACTATTTATGTTTGGTTAAAATAACCAATCAGGTCAGGCAAATACTATACAGGCTGAAAACAATAAAAGGATAACTAGAATCCATGGATGTCATTGTGTTATCGTTCTCCCCTTTTGGGAGTTTGAATTTTTAGCTTTCAGTTTTCAATATCTTAGTAATTCCGGTTTGTTGATTTTTGGTTTGGTTTCCATTTTGTATTATATTTAAGCACCCTTTAGTTACTATCTTTTGCCCCCTTGTGACTGTCTCTTTTCCCCTAGCTCCCTTCTTGTCACTTTAATCCACACCTGCTCCATACCTGATTACCCGAGTCTTTGTTCCGTCTCCCATATATACTCTACCTAGCAGTTCTTCAGTGCTGGTTCCTTGTTGTTGTTAGCTGCTCTGGCTCTCCACGTGGGTTTTCCATGATGTTTGCTGTTTGTTATTCTCTGTATTTCTGGGTGTTTGCCTCAGTTTTTCATTAAACCTATAAGAACTCATCTCTGCTTCACTCACCTCTGCATTTGGGTCCTCAAGCAACCGCACCCCCCACGGTGACACAATGAAAACCAAAAAGCTTTTGTTAATCAATTCTTTGAAGTTGTGCTCTGTACTCTGGTGAATATTTATGGTGGGTTTGGTTACTTTTACTGTCAGGATATATTCACTCTACAAAACAGCCAGATGGGATATTCCTCTTGTTGCATAATTGGCTGTATTGAATTATAGGAGAGACAGAAAACATTCATTCAGGCAATAAATTGGACTGGCCTTGGACAATTATGAGGAGGCAAAAGTGTCAGCAGAAAGACAAAATGAAAATGTTTGGAGAAAACATTAAGATAACTGCTAAAATAGCTACAATGCCAAAATAATAAATAATGCAATTATAAACAAGCTGTAACCCTTTATCTCTGATGGTATT